AACGCCCTACCGCTGATACTAAAAGGTTGTTGTCAACCTACTTTTAACACTCAGTTCTTGTCCAGCATGACCATTTCTATCTATTATTGTCATGTTGTCCCTAGAAGTTTGCTTTAGAGAAGTTTACCTGCAAATACAACCAAAAATGTGTGACTCTAAACCAAATGGGGCTGCAATTTTGAGGACAGATTTGCAATTTTATTTTAATGGGATGGAGCTTTGCCATAATTGAAAGTAATTTTTTTTCCCCTTTATTTTATTTTATTTTTTTTAAAGTTGTAGATTTACAATTTTTTGTGCTTTGGTTTCAATTATACAATGATCAGATACCCATCCCTCCACCAGTGCCCATTTTCCACCACCATGGATAATATCCCTCCCACCCCCATCCCCCTATCCCCCCTGTCTCTGTGGCAGGGCAATCCCCTGTGTTCTCTCTCTCCTTTTGGGTGTTGTGGTCTGCAAAAGAGGCATTGAGTGGCAAACATGTTCAGTCCATAGTCTACTTTCGACATGCATCTCCCCTCCTGGGTTGAAAGTAATTTTTAAGAACATTATATTTGTCTTGAGAGGTTGCTTTGACAATTTTAGATGCAGCTTAGCTAGATGTAATTCACATAAAGGAAATACTTGAAAACTATGTCTGGTGTTTATATAGTTTTTATTTATATATTTATATAGTTTATATAGTTTATATATAGCTCTCTCTTATCCTATGCCTGACTGTCTCCACCAGGGCCCAACAGCTGAAGACCACCGAGGCCCAGCCAAGGCCGTGCTGGGACCACTCTCCACACACTTGGATGAGCCTCACGCATAAAAGAACTGACAGAGGAACCCAGGTGTGTGGGACCCGGGGCTGAGATCTCCAAGCCTGCACAGTTTGGGACTGGACCTGCCAGTAACTAGACAGTTACACCCACCAACTGTCGTGTAACTCCAACAACGGCCAGGATCCAGAGATCATCACAATCAGCTCCCGGCCGCGCGACATCTTATCATCTCATTCCTAATTTGGTCAAACTGGCAGGCTACCAAATGTAACATGCCCACACGGCAGAGTCTGGCAAACTCCCCGTGGTATACCCAATATGCCAAATACCAGTAACAATGATGGGTCTCATTCTCCTAACCCTGAAAAAGCCTTGAATATGGCACTTTAAAAAAAAAATCTCAGGGCTAGGACGAAGAAGACGTTACTGGCACCTGCTCGAGGCAATCGATGAACAACAGGGTGGTCGTGATCGTGATGTCTGGTGACATTATGGTCATCTTCATGTTGAAAATGTAAGAAAATATAAAAGAAGCATGAACCTCAGTAGATAGAAAATCTTTCTGTTCATAATATCTGCAAGTGATAGTCTCTGTCAAGAACACGCTATCGTTCAATCCTTAGGAAAGGGAAATTGTCAATACTTGTCCTTTTATGATGGTTTTCTAAGATGGAGTTTTCCAGAGTTGTTGGCTGACATAGCTTAGTCTTGATCCTGCATTGAATTTGTAGGAGCACAAAGGGAAAACTGTGCCATTGTGTGAGACAAATTACTATCTAACATGAATTACTGCTTAATGGTGTTGCAATATTCATTCAGCTCTGCATCATTGACTCACAACCTGTTCCTTGCTATGCATTAATATTTTTAAAATAGCTGTGGTCATTTATGTGGATTTTTCATTTTGTGATCAAAAAACATTGCTCCTCTGGAAAGAAAGATGGCGGCCGCACGGGAGCCTTGTGGACAGCAGGTTTGAGCCGGGGGTGGTGGGAGCGGCAGGGACCTCATGGGAAGGGGGGCGTAATGGGCCGTCCTTCACGCCCGACCGAGGTCGCCAGCTGCCCCCCACGAGCGGCTCTCCGGCACGGCCACGACTCCAGAGCACAGAAACCAACCTCTTAACTATCTAACTTTTAATAGAAATTCTTCCAGGGTTAATAAGTAAAATAGCAGAAATCCAAAACATCTTTTTATTCTTAAACCAAGTTGTAGAAAGCAAATCATTTCACAACGCTGTTTCAGCATGTCTGATTGGGGGGGGGGTCGTAAACTCTAAACAATAATTGTGCATCTTCTATCGAAACAATGTATCTAGTCAAAGTAGATAGAGTATTAACTAGAACTCATCTGCCTCACAGGAATTGGGAGGGGTGGGAGGTGGGGTTCTATTGGGGTTTGCGGTTAAAAATAAGTATTGGTAAAGGGAAATGTGTTTGATATTTACATGACTGAGACCTAAACCAGAAAGCTCTGTAACTTTTCCCACAGTGATTCAATAAAGAAATAAATTATAAAAAAAAAACATTGTTCCTTTTCATGGTTAGTTTGAAATAAGAAGAATAAGAATAAGAAGTTTTGTCTATTGTAAGTGAGATTAAAAATAGAAAACAATTATGGCATTGGTACTTTTTTGGGGGATGGGGTTTTGGGTCAAGCCAGCAATGCTCAGTGGTTAGACCTGACTCTGCTCTCAGGAATCACTACAGGTGGTGCTCAAGGGGATACAGGATGCCGGGGTTGAAAGCAAAAGCCCCCCCTCCCATTTTACTATCACCCTGGCTCCTGACACTGGTTCTGTACTAAGTACTTAGCACAGACATCTTGACATCTTCCTTAATTCTCGAAACAATCAAAGAAGGTTGTATCATTATTCTCATTCTACAGATAAGTAAGCTAAATCTTCAGTTAATAAAAAATAACACCCAGGATGCCGCGGCTCATTACATTAACTATCATATAAAGAATAAACCTTTTTCTTTCACTCTAGAGTTAATTATTTTAATTAACTAATATCATATGCTAACTCCATTCCAAAAAAAAAAGAAATTTCTTCTTTAAGGAAACGAATATACATCTGTAACAGGAAAAGAAATGCTGTCCATCACAATAATAAAGAATAATTATGATCTCTCTGGATGGGAATGTATTTTATAGAGTTCTTAAGTCTCATTATTTTCCTTCCAAGTTTAATAACATTCAATTCAGCTGACTTCATGTAGAGCTTTAAAAATTACTCTCATGGTCACAGTTCAATTGATCAAGGCTTGTTTGTAATAACACACAACAGTTATATTATCTCAGCAATCCTCCAAGTTGGCCAATTTTACCAGGTCAATTGATCAGGATGGAGAGTTCAGCAGTCCGGTCCAATCCCATGAAGCTGATGGAGTGCATCAGTGCTGGTGGTCACCAGATCAACTGTGGTAGTGTGCCAGGGTTCATTCATTTCTGACCAGTTCTTATTCAATGTGGCTGCTGTTCTGCAAGCCACACCTTGAGATGTACTGACCCAAACCAGCATTTGAAAGAATTTTTCTGAGGGCACAGATGTGGCTCAGTGATCAAATATGTGCCTGGCATGCATGAGATCTGGGTTGGATCACCAGCACTGCAAACATAACAAAGCAAAAACAATCCTCTCCTCCCCGACCTGGTCCTCCCTTCCTCACTCCTTCCCTCTCTTACCCTCCTCCTCTACTTGTCTCCCTGCCCGAACAATCAAATCCCAATGAAACCATTTTCTTCACACACACAAAAATATATAGTTAACTGTTTTAACGTAGACCCTCAGGGAGCCCCTGTCACAACTACTCCACATGTCCTTTGAAGTGTGGAAGTGGCCATGCGCAATGCCTAAATCAATATGAGGTGGTAGTTTTCAATAAAGTTTTATTTACAGAAACAACATCAGCCTGAATCTAGCCAATGGTTGGCCAACATCTGGACTAGATCAATTCTATATAAGAGGCTTGAAAAATTACCCTAAACATGTGAAATAACCTTTATGAAATTCAACTACAAAATTCCCTTCTAAATTTTAAATAAAATCTACAGAACAATTCAAGAAATTCGATGAAATGCATTAAATAAGCATACAGGAGAAATCCCAATTTATTCCTATGAACCCAATAAAAAAGGAATCATCTTAACTATGGGCTTACATACGTCAGTTTTTAAAATATCAATGAATTCTCTTTGTTTACAGATGTTACTTTTAATTTGATATTGTTGACAGTGTTAGAATAAAAGACCTCTTAGTTAAAATAAAACTTATAGTCTATTGAATGACATCAATGCCACCATATAGATGCCACCTTATTATTAACTATTGAGTTTATAATAAGACAAAACAAAATGAAAACACACTTTTGGCCATAGCAGTGTCCAGCTTTAGTGTATTTGGTCTTTACCCAGAATAATGTACTTAAAACTAATTAAAAATGTAGCCATGACCTAAAAGTCATTATAAAGGCTAGATAATCCATTACATAAGCTTAATTCTTATGAAATGCAAATTCTTACAAAAAGACCAAAATCAGATAAATATTTGCCATAAAAATATGTGATTTCATTTCCTTAAAAGAATTATATGCAGATATCAAAAAGTAAGTTGCTAATATGGCTCATCATAAGTATAAAATGAAGGCATAAATCAAATGTTTCTGATAGTACGGCAAACTAGAAGATCTACTGAAACAATATCCCCACCAACAATTAAGTACTCTGTTACATTAAATGGAGGAACACTAAAAAACTCAAGATTATGGTGGGATATACAAATTTCAAAATCTTTTCCCAAATTTTACATTTGATTAAATCAAATGTTTTACTTGGCCAAATATTTGATGCAATCAAATGTTTCAGTTGATATTTAAAATGCAATTCAAAATTATTCTTTTTTTTTGATTCCACAATTCCTCTGAAACATTGCTGTATAAATCCCTAAGAAATATATGGTGCATTGACAGCCTTTGTTCCTCTCCTCTGAACATAGAACTCAATTATCAATCTGGAAGGACAAGATAAACACTCCAGGAAACAAAATGGCCTTGAGTGTCTGCTTGCAAGTACCAGGTGCGAACTTGTTTTAATTCATCAATTTGATTCATCCAATACTTATTAAGAACCGCCATTATCTAATCACACACAGGTTAACTCTTTCCTTTTACTATGTTACTCACCAAGTCTATCAAGAGCACAGTTAACCCCATGAAACATACTTACACTCTTCTTCAGGTCTCTTCCGAAGTGTTGCACGGACTTCCTTATAAGGACTTCTCTGATATTGTGGGGGATTCCTTCCCCTTATTAGGTTCTCCATTCTGTAAGAGAGAATCCAAAAGTCAATTGAATGCCAAAATCATGATACATGATAGTAGCAAGTCAAATGGTCTAACTCAAAAGTCAATACCCCAAGGTATTACAGAAGCTCAATGCAGAACTACATTAAGAACATTTAGCCAGGCCAAGCTCAAGAGAACATACAAGGTTTAAGGTGGCAAGCCTTGCTCTCAGTTGACCCTATAGAATAATGGTTGGTTTGCCCTTCCTCCCTGAGATCTTCAAGCCTACTCGGATCGGGGCTGAGCATCCTCCACCCAGATCCTCCAAATTCCAGTAGGCGGGGGTCACACCCACCAACTGGCCCCCTGGTGCTGTGTAATCCCATCAACGGCCAAGACTCAGAGACTATAAAACCCAGCTCCCTGAAGAGAATAGCACAGATTCTCCTGCCCCCGCGCCTGGCTGTCCTTGCCGGGGCCCCTTGGAGGGGAGCGGGTTGAGTTTCTCTCCCCGCCCCGACCAGGGCTCTGGTAGCTGAAGACCTCCAGAACCAGCCACCACCATGCTGAGACCACTCTTCGCACACATGAAAGTACTGGCAGAGGAACAAAGGCATGCAGGTCCCGGGACTGAGATCTCCAAGCCTACTTGGATCGGGGCTGAGCATCCTCCACCCAGACATCTTATTATCTCATTCCTACTTTGGACAAACTGGCAGGCTACCGAATGTAACCTGCCCACATGACAGAGTCTGGCAAACTTCCCGTGGCGCACCCAATATGCCAAATACTAGTAACAATGATGGGTCTCATTCTCCTAACTCTGAAAGAGCCTTGAATATGGCACTTTTTAAAAAATCTCAGGGCTAGGACGAAGGAGACATTACTGGGGCCTGCTCGAGGCAATCGACGAATAACAGGATGGTCGTGATCGTCGCCCTTCCTCCCTGGCCACTGGAAGCTTGTGTTTGTTGATTGCCCCCCAACCTGTCAATTACCTTTGTCTCCTGATCAGACTCTGACTTGTAAATATTGTCTTTCTCTTCTCCTCAATGTCTTTTGTGGGCTGGAGAGATAGCACAGCTGGTAGGGCATTTGCCTTGCACACGGACTACCTGGGTTCTATTCCTCCACCCCTCTAGGATAGTCTGTCAAGCTACCAAGAGTATGTCACCTGCAAGGCAAAGCCTGGCAAGCTCCCCGTGACATATTCGATTTGCCAAAAACAGTAACAAACCTCACAATTTGTTGTGAGACATTACTGGTGTCCGCTAGAGAAAAAAATAAATGAACAATGGGAGGTTAGCTACTACAGTGCTAATGTCTTTTTCATGGTTATTATTTCAGAGCAGTTGCTTTTTGTACGGATACAGGAAGATAGTTAAGAAGACAAGCCTGTGGCTTGGGAGTTGATTGACTCCAGATAATTTACCTCCTGGATATCTGCTCTCTTGACTTAAGCCTCAGTTGCCCTTACATCCTAGATCCCCCAAAGCAGGGTCCTGATGAGGGACTGGAGACCCAGGGCAAGCGGTGAGCTATGAGCTACCCTGGCATCAAAATGCTCCTGGCGAAAGTGCCCTAATTCTTAACTATAAGTTAAGAGCTTCGTCATGGATAAATTCTGACATGATCCAAAAGTAATAACTATATTTGGGCTCTGCTAGGTTTAGGAATGATTGAGCTGTCCTGAGCACTATAGTCTAAGTCTGTGGTAAGATGTTCCCAGGAGAGTCACCCTACAAGCCTAAAAGTGTCTATTACTGTGTCCATACAGAATGGTAAATATTAAAAGAATTAAAGATGCAAATTAAGTTGCAGGTCTAAGGAGAGGAGAAATTCACCTAAAGGCTGTTCTGCCCTCATGGGCTGTAGGTGTTCGAGAAGTTTGGAAAAACAATTTTGATTACGCTTCTCGTGGTGAGGCATTGTTGGGAAGGCATGGTGAGAGAATAAAAAGAACGGCTGCAGGGAGCAAGGGGGGAATGGATGGTTGGAGAAAGGGTTTGTTGGTTGGATTGATTGATTGAAGGAGAGACAGAGAGAGAGAGAGAGAGAGAGAGAGAGAGAGAGAGAGAGAGAGAGAGAGAGGAGATGGATACAATGGGAAAAAAGAATTGTGCAGTTAGATCTCAGGGCTGGAGTGATAGCACAGCGGTAGGGCATTTGCCTTGCGCGCAGCCAGCCCGGCCGAGCTGGGTTCGATTCCTCCGCCCCTCTTGGATAGCCTGGCAAGCTACCAAGAGTATTCAATATGCCAAACACAGTAACAAGAAGTCTCACAATGGAGACGTTACTGGGCCTGCTCGAGCAAATCGATGAACAATGGGAGGGCAGGGCAGGGCAGACATAGATAGACACAGAGAGAGAGAGAGAGAGAGAGAGAGAGAGAGAGAGAGAGAGAGAGAGAGAGAGAGAGATGGAGAGAGCTGGGAGAGACAAGAGAGTGAATAAAGGCAACTAATCAGCAACCAGCTTGGCCCTCGTTCTTCCTTCATCTGTCCAAGGCAACAGGCAACAGCAGTCCCGAGTGGAGAAGCAGCTCAAGAGCACTGAACATGAGCGGAGAGAGAGAGAGAGCCTCCTGGGGAGCCCGCCAACATCCTTTCATGTGTAATTCCTGCTTGCGTTGGGGGTTAACACAGCCTGAGACGGGGTTTTCACAGCCTGCACGTGAGCGCGGGGGATTTTTTTTTTACAGACCTCAGTTTGAATATGAGTTTACAAGAACAGAATTGCTACTTTTGTGCACATGAAGGACAAAAATGGGAGACAGATTTCTAAGTCTGATGATCATGACTTCTTGACAAATTGGTTAAGGTAAAACATACACCTCAATAATTAGCAGAGCAATGCTGACAGCCTGAAAACAATCATACATGTGTGAAAGGCAACTTTGGTCCTTGTTAACAGCATACGCCTTCTTTCCAATGTGCTCTGGCTGCAGTAAACTTTAAAGCCATCTTCACCAACTTCAAGTCATTTGCACACTCAACTGACTTTGATGACGCTGAAATGCTGTTTAATGTTCAAGACTTGAAAAATTAGGACAAGATCATGGTACTTATTTTGAAAATATCAATATATTTTTAACAGTTATTTAACACTGATGTTCATTCCTGATGGAATGTCACAGGTTTTGATAACTTCCCTGATAGTAGATCTATATACTGTGAAAACAGTTCAGTATTGTTACAGGTTATAGTATTCAAGAGACTTATGGGGGCAGAGGGCATTAATGTCCCAGAGAACCATGTTCTCAGTGCCTGAGAGGACAATCACATCAAAGCAATGTTTAAAATTATGTCAAATATGATGTAAAAGTATATAAAATGATGTAAAATATGAGATAAGGAATATCATATAATCATATAACCATGTTCTGGAAAGCAAACACTCATCTATAAAAATACTTTTCCAAACACAGTTCCTGAATACAATTCATTCATTTGTAACAGTTAATTTGTGTGTTTATATCCATCAGTATATGTTCTTCTAGTTCATATCTATGTGCATAAAGTGCAAATTTGATTCTCAACATGTGATGATAACTTAATCTTTAATTTCATTTGAAACTCATAATAAGCATTAAATTTTTTCCTCAGATTATTATAAATTAACAGGAAACCAAATGGCAACCTGAGAACTTTAAGACATAATTTACATTAAGACTATAATGGGAGGGTGGAAAGCATGGGGAATGAATCTCCCAGACTGGGCCTGCAGTTTCACCATAAGAATTAGACATATGAACTAAATTACATAAAAATTTTCTAGTTTCTAACTTGAATTAATTCAGTGCACAATTTTTATTACATTTCAGCAAGATCATGTACTTCCACAATGATCTAACAACAATCGAAGTGAACTCATAATCATTCATTAGTATTCAAACTCAAGATAGAAAAGTAAAACACATGTAACCTGCCTGTGCAAATGTCTGTATAAAATTCTAATGCCATTTTGAAAACCAATTTGACTTATTGTGACTGGAATTTGATCTGAAGCACTAACTTTTTCTGATTGGAAATCTTATATAAACCACTGTCTTGGAGAAGCCTATTATTCTTTACTTTATGTTCCTGATTATTAAACATGGTTATTTCCATGTAACTACACTTGGGGGAAGTGCCAGAAAGCTGGAGTATAAGTTAGAAAGTACTGTGAGGTTCCAGTAGTTCTTATACTTGTCTAATTGCTCCTGGCATCAAAGATCCCCAAATCAAGTCACCAAGAATCCAGGTGCCCAGAGGCTTCCTGTGGTAATGCTCACAAGGACACCTGCATGAATTCTGCAGTATTAGCCATGTGGCAGTAATTGCAGCACTTAAAGCAAATAGCCAGGATTTGGAAACAACCCAAATGCCTGGTGACGAATGAGTGGAAGTAAGTCAGAAGGAGAGAGACAAATTCAGAATGACTTTCTCTTATATGGGATATAAAGAGACATAATAAGAGAATAACAAATGATCAAACACAACGGTTTCTGAGGATGTGTGCGGATGGGGTAGGTTCAGGGTAGGATCGAAGCCATGACACTCTGAGAGAGGATGGGGAGTTGAACATCCTTTGCATGAAACCCTTTCATTCACAGCATAATAAATCACAGTGCCAAATAAAAAAGGGTTGCAGTATACATATACAAATCTCCATCACTACGTAGCTGTAAGAAAAGATGAAATCATGCAATCGTCCACGGCAATGTGGCCGGAACTGGAAGGAATCATGAGAAGTGAAATTAAGTCAAAGGTAGAGCAATGATGACCTCACTCATCTGTAGAATTTAGAGAGGCAAATCAAGGGAGTTTATAGAATTGAACAATGACAAACCGATGGTCTTATATTACAAAACAAATTTCCTAGCAGATGGTGGCGAGAAAGCTGGTGATAAAAAAGGCAAAACAGAGATAGTGGTGAAGGGCCTTGGTGGTGATCAGGTGCACATCACTACAATATACTTCAACACTATTAGAACCAAAAATACAATTAAATTTGTTGTTGTTGTTTGTTTTATGTTTGTTTTTGGCCAAAGCAAGTGG